TACAGATATCCTCCAAACTGAACACATATGAATTACACATGTTCAGAGGCTAATTTAATGCAGATAAAGCACTAAGTGAGTTTAATTACCACCTTAATCAGCCACAGAACCTGTGTCATTAATATGTGTTGGGGTTTAAAAGATGAGGTGGCAACCCTATACTCCTTGGACCTTGCTTGGACCTTGAAGAAGGGGACATACCTTGAAATGCATTTTCCTGATCCTAACAACATTCAATTTTTTCAGCGTTTGTACAGAACGAGCATATATGCAGTTTTGTAGGCCAAATAACTCTGCAAACCTTTTTTTATAAATACACCCTATAATAATTTCTATACTGCAGTGCAATGACTGGAGACAAAAATTGTTAAACGCAGGCACATCTTCCAAACATTTAGCTACAGAATAAAGACCATGCATCAAGACCAAACCAAGGAAAGCATCAGGGATCCATTTAGATATGCATTCTGTACTGATTGTTTATAAACATATGGAGGAAGAGTTGGAAACAAAAAAAAAAACACACAGAGACTACATTCTTCTAGAGCAGCGGTTCTCAACCTGGGGGTCGCGACCCCTTTGGGGGTCGAACGACCATTTCCCAGGGGTCGCCTAAGACCATCGGAAAACACATATTTCCGATGGTCTTAGGAACCGAGACACCGCTCCTCTGACTCAGTCGATGTGTGGGCGGGATGACACGCTGCCCTGTCACCTGGCCACACCTCCGGGATCCCTCAACAACTCCGCCTCCTCGCCGCTGATTGGCCACCGGAACTGTAGCTCAGGAGAGGCACACAGGCGGCCAATCACCGGCGAGGAGGTGGAGCTTGGAGAGGAGGAGCCGAGCGGCAGCGCGCGTAGATCTAAGAAGATCGAGGGAACTGCCGGAGTAAGTGAAGAGGAGAGCGGCCAGAGAAGGAAGACAGCTGACAGGTAAGTGAGAGAGCGAGCCCAGGCTGGAGCAGGGGTCAGCAAGGTAAGTATCATTGGTGTCAGTGGGAGGAATAGTGCCCCATCATTTGTGTGACTAATACCAACAATGGGGCACTATTTCTCCCACTGACACCAATGATGGGGCACTATTTCCTCCCCCCCCGCACTGACACCAATGATGGGGCACTATTCCTCCCCCCCACTGACACCAACGATGGGGCACTATTCCTCCCCCCCACTGACACCAACGATGGGGCACTATTCCTCCCCCCACTGACACCAAGAATGGGGCACTATTCCTCCCCCCACCGACACCAACGATGGGGCACTATTCCCCCCCCTGACCCCAAAGCTGGGGCACTATTTCCCCCTCCACCACACTGACATCAATGATGGGGCACTATTCCTCCCACTGACACCAATGATGGGGCACTATTCCTCCCACTGACACCAATGATGGGGCACTATTCCTCCCACTGACACCAATGATGGGGCACTATTCCCCCCACTGACACCAATGATGGGGCACTATTCCCCCCACTGACACCAATGATGGGGCACTATTCCCCCCACTGACACCAATGATGGGGCACTATTCCCCCCACTGACACCAATGATGGGGCACTATTCCCCCCACTGACACCAATGATGGGGCACTATTCCTCCCACTGACACCAATGATGGGGCACTATTCCTCCCACTGACACCAATGATGGGGCACTATTCCTCCCACTGACACCAATGATGGGGCACTATTCCTCCCACTGACACCAATGATGGGGCACTTTTCCTTCCACTGACACCAATGATGGGGCACTATTCCTCCCACTGACACCAATGATGGGGCACTATTCCTCCCACTGACACCAATGATGGGGCACTATTCCCCCCACTGACACCAATGATGGGGCACTATTCCCCCACTGACACCAATGATGGGGCACTATTCCCCCACTGACACCAATGATGGGGCACTATTCCCCCCACTGACACCAATGTTGGGGCACTATTCCCCCCACTGACACCAATGTTGGGGCTCTATTCCTCCCACTGACACCAACGATGGGGCACTATTCCCCCCACTGACACCAACGATGGGGCACTATTCCCCCCAATGACACCAATGATGGGGCACTATTCCTCCCAATGACACCAACGATGGGGCACTATTCCTCCCAATGACACCAACGATGGGGCACTATTCCCCCCACTGACACCAACGATGGGGCACTATTCCCCCCACTGACACCAACGATGGGGCACTATTCCCCCCACTGACACCAACGATGGGGCACTATTCCCCCCATTGACACCAACGATGGGGCACTATTCCCCCCACTGACACCAACGATGGGGCACTATTCCTCCCACTGACACCAACGATGGGGCACTATTCCTCCCACTGACACCAACGATGGGGCACTATTCATCCCACTGACATCAGTGATGGGGCACTATTCCTCCCACTGACACCAACGATGGGGCACTATTCATCCCACTGACATCAGTGATGTGGCACTACTCCTTCCACTGACACCAATGATGTGGCACTACTCCTCCCACTGCAAAATTACAGTTATGAAGTAGCAACGAAAATAATTTTATGGTTGGGGGTCACCACAACATGAGGAACTGTATTAAGGGGTCGCGACATTAGAAAGGTTGAGAACCACTGTTCTAGAGGTTGGTGTGATCTCCGGTGCTAGCACATTGTAATAAAGAAATAAGCATTCATAGCTCCTGAGTGCCTCTCGCATCGCAATGTATATGGTAATGTCACCCCAAACACATCTAGCAAATGCAACGCGTTTGCGAACACCAAACCACATGATAATGCAGAACCATGTGGTTTGGTATAACACGATTTGTAATAGTAGTGCCTGCATTACTTTTAGCATGTTCCTTTGCATTTGGCAGCCCCTTGAAATGAATGAACAATATCTCTTGCAGATATACTGTAGTAATTAGAAGGATGATCAATGATCTGGAGTTTGACTACAATTTGTTAGTGTAACTAAATCTGCTAGTACATCTAACACTCCCCTCCCGTTGTCCAAAGTTGTCCCTGTGCTAATTCATCAAGGGCACTCTAATACAGAAGGTGTGTTACTGGCCAGATCACAAAGTGAAAACAAAGGGGAAAGAAGCCTAAAAAAGAAAACTAATGCAGCTACCACATCTGATTGGTAGGCTGCAATATATAATTTTTTTTTTGTTTTGACTTCCATACCGTTTTTTTAAGAACACATACTTGACTAAAAATTTTCTTTTTTAAAACCAGAGTTTAGTGTCACTTTAGCTGAACATCTTATTCCAGTGTTTTACAACTTTTTCAATCAAGGCACCCTTTAAAATTCTGAAAAATCTTGAGGCACCCCATTCTAAAAAACGTAATTAATAGTTTTATAGAACGCAGCAATATCCTCACACATAGGACACCCAACATTAGAGGTGATTTATTCTTCCAAACAGGGGCGGACTGACCATTTGGAAACTCGGTCAGTAGAGGGCCCCATGAGATGCCCCTGGTACCTTTTTCATTGGCTTTTTTGAGTTTGGGCAAGGACACAGGGGCCCCATGATCCCTTATTGCCCGGGGGCCCCATGAGTTGTCAGTCCGCCCCTGCTTCCAAAGCAAACACACCTTTGCACACTGGTACTGACTAGTGTTCCAATGTTTCTCTTCTCCCTCAGTTTCTCTCCCTCATTCAGCTAATGTGACCCCAGTGCAGATGGCGAGGGGCAGAGGAGGGGCACACAAGGATGCTGTGCAGGTGCACCATATCCTTCTTATCAATCAATAACATAATTTGCTGTTGCGTCGCTGGCGGCTAGAAGGATGTAATGGTACACAATAAAAACCTCTGGCTTTGTGTAACTAAAAGGCAGGCTTGCTTCAACTGCTGCATTGAATACAATTTTTGGGCAAACCATAAGGAACCCCAGAGTGCCTGGGCATCCTGGTTGAAAAGACTGGGCGCCCTGTCTTGAAGCAGCATTGAACAGAAAATAGAAGACTCCGTCACTTTGCAAACCTGCAGGGTCTAGTGTATGCAATACGTTATGAGTTTTGCTTATAAAATTACATTTTAACCACCAGAGGTCACTTAAAGACAACTAAAAAGTTACATTGAACAGTTCTCTGATAGTGATACATACTTATATACTTGTATTGCATCTCCTATTAGGTGTGGAAGACCCTGTTCACACCTTTTCTATTAATTTATTCTTTCTTATTGATTGAACATATTGGTTGATAGTGTCTTTTATCCACCTGATTAAGTATGTAACCATGTAAACTTTGTGTTTTATGTGCTTTTTAGGTATGGTGTGCTCCATGCTACATCTTTGATGCACTTTAATCAAAATGCATGTTCAATGGCAACACACCTAAAATGAATGTAAAAAGTGCACTGCACAGATATGTTCTGTCCTTAGTAATTTTTAATGAAGTTTTCTTACCACTTCAGGGTAGAAATGATCTAGAAATGTTGACCTTCTGCAGGGGTGTCCAACGGGTGGCCCATGGATCGCATGCAGCCCAACACAAAATCATAAACTTACCTAAAATAATGTTGATTTTTGGGGGGGAATTTTTTGTAAAAATGCGTTTATACTTAGCGAACACATGCAGCCGAACAATAAATTTATAGTGTCTCTTTAACTACTTGCCTACAGGGCACTTTCAAGCCCTTCCTGCCCAGGCCAATTTTCAGCTTTCAGCACTTTGAATGACAATTGCACGGTAATGCAACACTGTACCCATATGACATTTTTAAAAAATTTTCTAGACAGATAGAGCTTTCTTTTGGATATATTTAATAACCACTGGGTTTTTTATGGGCACTGATAGGCTGCCCTGATGGGCACTGATAGGCGGTACTGATGTGCACTGATGAGGAGGCACTGGTAGGTGGCACTGATGGGCATTGACAGGCAGTATTCACTGATAGGCAGCACTGACTGGCACTGTTAGGTGGCACTGACTAGAACTGTCAGGTGGCACTGACGGGCACTGATAAATGGCTCTGACGGGCACTGATAGGTGGCACTGATTGGCAGCACTCATAGGCGGCACTGACTGGCACTGACTGGCACTCATAGTTGGCACTGAAAGGCAGCTCAGATGGGCACTGATATGTGGCATTGATGTGCACTGGTAGACACTGATATGTGGCATTGATGTGCACTGATGGGCACTGACTGGTGGCATTGATGGACACTGACAGGTGGCACTGATGGGGCTACACTGATGATCAGGGCACTGATCATCAGTGCCCTGATGATCAGTGTAGATGTCCCCTCTGAGGAATGCCGATTACTGGCTCTCCTCTCCTCAACGTGACAGCTCGTGAGGAGAGAAATTCCGATAACTGGCATTTCCTTATTTACATGCGATCAGCTGTGATTGGACACAGCTGATCACATGACAGAGCCGAAGTCATTGGCTCTTTCCGATGATCGGTGATCCGCTGTGTCCCAGGGACACAGCGCACCACCGACCATCACGCTGCGCGCCCCCCCCGTCATATGACGTCCTCCCAGAACGAGAGAACCTCTGCGCTCCCGTCATTTCCTTATATAGCAGGCGGGAGGCGGTTAATGGACTGTTATAAGTTTTATCTTCCCAAAGAGAAATCTCCTTCTCTTCACAAACACGCCTTATTCATGTCATCTGTTTTCAGCAGCACCTATATTTGTGAGCAGCTATTTTTAAGGATGAAGCACACGAAGGGCAAAATTGGAACGAAAATATCTGATAAGCATCTTGAAAATTCATTGAGAATTGCAACCTATCGAACCAGTTACTGATACATTTGTTTATTAAAAACAGTATCAAATATCACACTAGTTTTATGTTGCCCTCTTACTTTTATAATAAACAATATTACAAAAACTAAAGTTTTATTACTCAGATTGGTACCTTATCTATATCACTATATTAGTAATCGTTAACTTGTGATCTGCCCAACTTTTTCTGCTCATCAGCTATCCTTATTGTTAGTGTTTTTATGTGTGGCCCAAGAAAATTCCTCTTTTTCCAATGCTGCCCAGGAAAGTCAAAAGGTTGACCAGTTGCCAGCATGACTTCAGGTATACCTGAATAGGAGGGGCAGTGGGGCAGCATATAGAAAAATCAATCCCCTTCATCTTCTTCCTGCAGCCACTAAAAGCCTGCCTCTCCTCCTCTCCCTCTCGCAGGCATTCAGCGGCTGCAGGAGGAAAATGGAGTGGATAATTTCTACTATATGCTGCCCCACTGCCCCTCCTATCCATCTTCCTCTTCTTTCTGCTGCCCCCAAGCCCCATTGTGGCTCCCTGGCCCCCCTACCCCCCCCCCCCCCCCCCCACACTGACTCTGTTCATTCATAACTGAGTAGACTGTGTTTACTGTGCTTCAGTTTGTGAATGAACAGGAGGCTCTGTACAGAGCTATTCCTGCCCATTCATTCTGTGCTGCTGAAGCTGCAGAGATGGAGATTTGAGGACTGTGTCCTCTAACTCTTTTCTCTGTCTCTAAGGTGGAACATCAGAGGTCTGTTCAGACCCCTGTTATACCACCAAAACCCCCAACGAGGCTTCTAAAACAAATATTGTAAAAAATAATAAAAAATAAAATTGTAACAAATAAATAAATAAACAAAATGGTAAAAAATAGAAAAAAAAAAAAAACAACTACTGGCACCAGTGGCGGAACTACACACAAAGGTCGCCCTTGCAACCAGGCTCTAGCATTCCGCTACTGGGCTCGGAAGGAAAGGCCCTGGGCTCGGAGGGAAGGGCCCTGGCCAGGGGTAAGGGGGCCCTTCTTGGTTTCTTGCATCAGGGTCTTGAAGGTTCTAGTTATACCTCTGCCTATTTTACTTTATGTCAGGGACACCACATAACTGTTCTGTGGTGAGTACAGCTTGATTTCACAGCACATATGGACCATTGGGCAACATTTCATCTATGTGCCAGAATCCCCCTGGTATGAGGCCCTGCCCTTTCATACTATGTTCTATCCATTTTATCATCAGTTATGGTTGGTGCGGAAAGCTGCCGGCGTCCACTTTTTTTCCCCATACAGACAGATATCAATATATCATTGCTGTCAGTCCTTCAAAACTATACCCAGAGACACCATATTGCTAAACTGATGGGTTGAAGGAAAAATGTAAGCCTAAAATTTAGCCTGGCCTTTTGTGTTTTGGGCTCTAAACCAAAAGGTTTTCCATAGTTTCTAATGTCAAAGATGTTTACATCTCAAAATGTAACCAGTGAAAGTATTTTTATAGTGTCTTCATTTATTAAAAAAGCGAGTTGTTGACGAAGCTGAATAACTGAAGTGTATCAGAATACCGACTCAGAAACTGATAAAGTTATAGATTAAAATAAAATTGACTCAGAACCACTTTCTTTTTCTTTTACCAAATTTTGTCCCACACACCCAGAGCTGCTAATATGCAATATTGCCTATCTCCTAAATCTGACATCCAGTATAACTTGCTATGTGTGGTCTGTGCATGTCCTGCAGTAAGTAAAGAAAATTTGTGTATGCATTGAACAAGCCATATGTATTTAACCACTTTCCTACTGGGCACTTTTCCTCCCTCGTGACCAGGTCAATTTTCAGCTTTCAGTGCTGTTGTATTTTGAATGACAATTGTGCGGTCATGCAACACTGTACCCATATGAAATTTTTATCATTGTTTCCACACAAATAGAGCTTTATTTTGGTGGTATTTAATTGCCACTGGGTATTTTATTTTTTGCACTATAAACAAAAAAAGAGCAAAAAATTTGAAAAAAAAATGTTTTTCTTTGTTTCTGTTATAAAATTTTGCAAACAGGTAATTTTTCTCCTTCACCGATGTGCGTTGATGAGGCTGCACTGATAGGCAGCACTGATGGCCACTGATAGGCAACACTGATGGGCACTGATGAGGTGGCAAGGATAGGCAGCACTCATGGGCACTGATAGGCTGCACTGATGAGGTGGCACTGATGGGGCGGCATTGGTGGGCATTGATGAGGAGGCACTGATGATGCTGCACTGATATGCAACAATGATGGGCACTGATAGGCGGCACTGAAAGGCGGTGCTGACTGACACTGCTTACTGGTGGCACTGATGGGTGGCACTGATGGGCAACACTGCTGGGTGGCACTGATGGGGGGCACTGCTGGGTGGCACTGCTGGGCATAGATGGGCACTTGTGGGTGGCACTGCTGGGCGCTGGTGGGTGGCACTGCAGACCACTGATCATCTGTGCCGATCTGCTCTGTGACAGCTGCCGGTTACCGGCAGTACTTTCCTCACGCTTTGGCAGTGTGAGGAAAGTGCTGCCGATAAACGGCAACTGTATTTACTCTGTGATCTGCTGTGTCATTGGACAGAGCTGATCATGTTGTAAAAGGCCGCTGTGATTGGCCTTATACCTCATCATGTGATCAGTTGTGTCTGTAGGACACAGTAATCATGGATGCGCGCTGCTGGGGGCACGGGAGGGCTTATTCTGGGAGGATGTCATATGGTGCCCTACCAGAACTGGACAACCGCGCTGTAGCCATAATTCGGCTAAAGCATGGTACAGATGTGGTTAATAAAGTGCTGATCAAAATGCATAGATTTTAACAATTCCCGAATCTTATTCTAAAAAAACCCACCTGCACTGCATTTTCAGACATGTGGGAGTGCCAATATAGCACACATTTCCGCATCTGCAGAAATGTGAAGCTAGCCTAAAGTAGGCTGCAAATGGGAGTAGAATTATTTATACTGCCTAAAACCTCGTACACTCGATGAGAATATCAGACAAATGATCATCCGTTTTTTTTCACATGCTTGTCTCATATCGAAAATGAAGAGGTTACTAAAGTTACAAAAATTCTTGTATGACAGAATACAACTTCGGAAGTGATGTAATGTGTTATAATGTATTATTTAGTTTCTGAGCATCTGTGGTCTTGGAATTCCGATTTTTTTCGGACTGCTACTGTACTGATTAAACAAAAATCATTAGTTCTGGTATCGTACGAGAAAAATGTTCACGTTTGTCCCTTCAGATGTTGTTGATGAATTGTCGTGATCATCTCTCGAAAGCTAGGTACTAACAAACAGATTATCGGACAAGCACACCGAAAGCGGTATTTTTTATCCAATTTTCTCATCGTGTTTAGACATTTTAGTCACTGAATAAAATAACTGAAGAAGAGGCCCTGCTCAGATTTATTAGCTCATAAGTACACATCACATGGTGACATTTATCACTCTGCAAGATATATACAATACAACAGTCAAAGCTTCCTACCTCACATTTTGTAGTTCTTAGCTTATGAATTGAACAGGTAAGCAGAATACAAAACTTGTATGGCGATAAAAACTATGATATGACTTCTGTCTCTCCTTTGAAATTTTCCAGTCTGTCAACTCTTTTTTTATGTATATTACCATCTAAAATATTTCATAGTCATAAGAAAAGTTTTTGACTGTTGTCCCTTATTAATATTCTGTCATCCAGTCCTTGTTGGCTTTCTACCACTCTCTACTTTGTCCCCCACCACCTTCACTCACTGCTTCAAAAACAAGATTGATGCAATTTGTGAGGACATCTCCACTATTACAGACATTTTTCCACTTAAAGTGGTTGTAAACCTCAGTCATGGAATCTTAGCAAAGCACAGGTATCTGTAGTGTTTACTTGTCTCTCTCTCTGGTGCTTCATTCCTCTGTTATCAGAATCACTTGTGACAAGTTTTACCAACACATGAGATAGATTTATGTTGGGGGGGGGGCAGAGCTCAGCAGACAGCTTGTCTATTCACAACATAGCTCCTGTGTACTGTGTGTGTGTTTGTGTGTGTGTGTCCCTTTCCTCCAATCAGCTCTCACAGAGCTCCAACTGCAGCTCCCTGCTCCCACCTCTGTGATACTGACAAATTCAGAAGGATCTTATCTAAAATCAGCACTTTTGAAGGGATAGACAAGTAAAACCTATGTAGGAGGATTTGTTTCATCTCTGTGTATCACCTGAGTCTATTCACTTCACTGGGTATATGTGAGGGTTTATAACCACTTTAACATACTTTGTCTAACAGCACATTCAGTACTTTCCTGTTTTTGTCTACTACAGAAGAGGTTACCAAACCTTTCTCAATCCGCCACCTAGCCACCTGTCTCCTCAGTCCTGTTCCCTCACAACTACTACAGTCACCCTCTTCTTCTATCCTGTGCTCTCTTACATCTTCAATCTCTCCTTCTCTACTGGCACCTTCCCCTCCCCTCTAAAGCATGCACAGATGCCCCCTATATTTAAAAAGCCTTCACTGGACCTCATTAGAGCCAGCTTGAACAACTTAAGATCCATCTCCTTGTTCCCATTTACCTCTAAACTTTTTGCCTATTGTAAAATTGACTGTAATGCCTCCTCACTAATAACAACCATCTTGACCACTTACAGTCTGGTTTTTGCTGGCAGCACTCAACAGAACCTGCCCTACTAAAAACTCACTAATAATTTACTAACTGCTAAAACCACTACTCCATACCCTTACTACTAGACCTTTGTGCTTCCAGTGATACTGGAGACCACCAGCTCCACTCCATTTGGCCTCCAAAACTCTGCTTTTTCCTAGTTCTCTTCCTATCTATCACAGTGTTCCTTCAGTGTTACTTACAACTCTGTACCCTCCTCTCTACTTCCTCTTTCTGTAGGTGTACCCCAAGGATCTGTCCTTGGACACCTTTTCTTCTCTATCTACATCTCCACTTGATAATAGCTTTGAATACCCTCTCTATGCTAATGACACTCTGATCTATATCTCTACTCCTCACCTCACTTTTTCAATATCCTCTTACATCCTCTTACATTACTAGCTTACTATCTCACATATCAGCAAAAATGACTTAAACTAAATCTTTCTAGGACAGAGCTTGTAATATCACCCCCCCCTTTCCCCACACACCCCAAGTCTTACTTGACTTTTCCATCAAGATCAATAATACAACTATCAGTCCCTCCCCTCATGCCAGGGTATTAGGTGTAATCCTAGAATCTGACCTGTCTCTTCAGCCCCAAATCCAATCACAGTCAAAAGCTTGCAGACTTCACCCCCGCAACATTTCTAAAATATGCCCCCTTTTTTTTTTACCACTGAAACCACCAAGCTACTTATTTACTTCCTTGTTATCTCTCACCCTGACTATTGCAATTCCCTTCTCATGGGCCTACTTCTACACAGGCTATCCCCTCTTCACTCTATCATGAATACTGCTGCCAGACCTTACCAGCTGCTCAGTGTCCGCCACCTCTCTTTGCCTATCCTTGCACTGGCTTCTGATTGCCCAGCTAATTCAATTAAAAATACTAACAATATACAAAGTCATTCACAACTCTGCTCTAAGCTACATCATCAATCTTTTCTCAAAATATCACCCAAAACATCCTCTTTGTTCCTCTCAAGACCTTCTGTTCTCTAGCTCCCTTTGTCTCCTCCTTCCATGCTCATCTCCATAACTTCTCCACAGCCTCTCCTAACTTCTGGAATTCTCTACCTCAATCTGTCTTCAGAGAAGCTTATACCACCTCCACCCAACAACTGAACTTTTACAGCCAGTTGCTTGTACTTCTTTAATAAAAAAAAGAAATAAGAAAAAACCTTTTAATGAACCATTTTCCCACTCTCAAAAAAAAATAGTGAAGGGGAGATACTGTGATTTTTTTTTCTTCCTAGGAGCATGAAGAAACGTGCATGGGCAATAAACAAGACCAATATTTTTCCCTCGCAGGGATTTCCAAAAAAACGGATCACCAGCCTCCTGACTTACCCATGCAGCACTGCTGTTTTGGCCTTAGACTTCAGGCCCTTGTCTGTCTGCAACAGACCTTTTTCAGAGATTTTCAAATCTGTCTGTACAGCCAGCAGCCCCTTGCTGCTCTGGCTTCAAACTCTCTACTAAGTGGAGCCCTCCTGACTCCTTGGCAGAAATCTCCTCTGTCTGCTGGGGTGGAGCCCAGAACCTTAGTCGGGTCTCAACTAAAAGGCCATCACACGCCAGCCCAATTAGTGAATTCGGTGAACACACGAACGGTCTAGGCGTTTGGCGGGCTGTTCGCCCACTTCGCCCCACAATGCACTGCACCCTGACAGTATATTGTTATTGGCTGAAGCATTGCAGCTGACCACAGGTAGGTTTGACTGACAATTATTCCATCATACAACACTGTAAACAAATACATTTTTATACCAATTTTTCAAACAAATAGAGCCTTCTTTTGATGGTATTCAGTAACCACTGGGTGGGTTTTTTTTTGCCATACATAGAAAAACATTTTGAGAAAAAAAACATAATTTTCACGTTAAAAAATATATGAAATAAAAATGCAAGAAACATACAAATTATTAATTTTTGGAAAGTGAACCCCAAGGTGATCTAATCTAATTTTTAGCCACAATTCTTTGTAAATGAAAACGTATCAAGGTGGTTAAAACAAGAAACTTGGCATTGGTGTGCTAGATACAGGGCATCAGTAATGTATTGGTCATATACAGGAGGAGGAGGAGGTGAAGGGGGTTAATGTACAGGTCCCATATAGCGGGAAGATGAAGATAAGTTATTGTGCAGGCTAAGAGAAGTGAAAGCGTTTATATTCAGATCACAGGACAGCATGGAGATGAGAGGTGTAGGGGAGGAGGGGGTGAAATGGTTAAAAAATGATCCCACAGTCAATTACAACCCCTCACAATGAAAATGAATCATCTACTGCTGCTAATCCCATCATTGACAAATTTTCATTGCCCTATACTCACTTCCTCTCTTTCTTCCATTGTACGAGCAACAGGAGGGCTCTCAAATGTAAAACACTATAGCACTTAAGTTTGCAATTGCTGTGATTGATCATCACAGCAATCACAATGTACAGAGCCAATCCAAGCGGCTCAGTACATTGTGTCTGATCTGAGCCATCCAATGACCCCTCAAAGGCATGGCCACCCATGCCTTATTTCTGCAATGCCGTACGTAAACAGCACAGCAGAAATACTGTACATGTCCAACACTCCACCATTCTTTAAGGGGGCTCTAAAGGCAGAAGGTTTTTCCTTTAATGCCTTCTATGCATTAAGGTAAAAAACATTCTGTGTACAGCAGCCCCCCTCCCCTTATACCTACCTGAGCCCCATCGTGATCAAGTGATGTGTGCGAGAGCCTCGAGACTCTCCCTTGGCTTGACAGCAACAGGAACTATTGGTTCCACTGCTATCAATC